GTTTGTAAGTTTACAGAATTTAGGGATTTTACAATGTCACAAAGGTTTGCGTGAATTGTCTCAACATTCGCATTCCATGATTTAAACGCATCTACAATGCAATTAAATTTTTCAAGTTCGCAGAAATATTTTATACGACGTACTACTCTTACTTTTTAATTAAAATAATAAACCCATCAAAATACTCTTACTTTTTAATTAAAATAATAAACCCATCAAAATTAAGTAATTAATACTAAATCCGCTAGTGTTGTGAGTGAAGTTGCAAACTCGTAAAATTCGAATTTTTCATTAAATTTTTAACTTGACTTTCCTTCATAGTTAGTCTTTGGTAACAAACTTTTTGAATAACTAGGCTAAATTTACAGCATTACAAAAAAACCCGAGTTAATTCAACCCCAAATAAACAATTTAAATATCATTAACCACGCATGGACTACTTCTGTACATTTTAAGTTACATTTTATAAAAATATGTCTAAACATTTCATAACTGGCGAGTTAGATACACAAATTTTTAACACGTTCATTTTACAACTTGTTTAAAATTACGGAGGTAATTCACGTCAACTTTTGCAGGTTCGTAATCATGTAAGCTCACGAAACTTTTAACGAAACTTGGGAACATCTCGAAGGTAATTTTTGCTTATGAACTAACAAAACCTTACGAAGATGAAAGGCATGTTTTTCGTTAGTAAACTGAAGTTTACGTGGTTACGGACTTACGAAGGCCGACGTGAATTGCCTCATCCGTTGACAATTTGACATATTTAGGTATTTCATTTAAATTTAGGCGTGATTTTAATATCGGGTTGAATTTGAGGAAATACATAGAAAATGGAGAAATAACAATTTGTCGGGATTTTAACGCCATTTTTTCGAATTTGGATATATTGAGGGTATTCATTACGAGTTCGCATGTTCGCATCGCAACATAACTTTTTCGAAATTGCGAATTTTGCGAAGCAACGAAGTGAACACATGAAAGTTTTGTTCAAATATCTCGAATTTTGTAATAAGAAAAATTCGCAAATTACCATTAGTTACCGAAATTTTGCATCTGAAATTTACCAAATAAGAAATCTCTAAAATTCAAAAGGCCAAACTTCGGTAACCAATAGAGATTTATGGACTTTTCCCATTGAAAAATTTGCGAAAAATATTTTGCGAACTAAATACTAGCCCTGGAGATGCGCAAGTTCGCAAATTGATTTCCAAGCCAAATTTTTTTGCGAACTTGCGAACTTTATTTTTTTGCGAACGTTGCTAACGATGCGAACTCGTAATGAATACCCTCATTATTTACTATTATTGGTAATCCAAGATTCCAGGTACGTCAGAGTTGTCTTTGTAAGCAAATCGTTACCGCAAATAAATAAGTTATTAACAAATAAGTTACGAATTTTACGAAGTTTACAAACTTATGAAACAGAAAGGTCAAATTCTAGCTTGATTTGCTCAGACCCTGAGACTGATCGGAAAATGCGAAATACTGAAAATGCGAAATCTCATGCAGCCAAAGCCGAATCGTTATAGTCGGGTTGGATTCCGTCTCGAGGAAAGTTGACGAGAATGATAAGGTCTCATCGGGCCAGTGCCTTATCGTAGGATAACAAGAGTTTATAAATTTGCGAATTTTACGATGCCTGCGTGAATTGAATTGCCTCAATATTTGACGGGATTTGTTACATAAATTTAGGCAATTTATTACTGACTGCTTTTATACATATTTAATGCCCTCGTCTCCATCTGTCCATAAAAGGGAGGAATTAATTGCGATTAATTGTGAACTAATTAATTTACAATGAAACGGGCTGTGCATAAAGAATTGCGAATTCCGAACGTTGCTGATTCGTCACGATTTGAATAATCGCAAATTTAAACGAGTCACCTAATTACTTATGAATATTTGAAAAATGGATTAGATCCTTTTCGCACAGGGCTGAAATTTCCACTGAAGGGCGAGCACGTGAAGGATGTGATCAGGAAGTTTTAAGGGGACGCACATGTATGAAAATTTCGAATTTTACGACTTTTGGACATCATGTTCATTTTCATGTTCGAAAATCGCAGGGTACAAATTTGAGTACAAAATTTTGCATATCCTTTCTGCACAGCCACAGTCTTGATATACAAACAGAGGGCGGATATCTACTTATCTTCCACTTTTTCATTTAATCATGACCGACGGTCAAGCTTTGTGGGTGTGTTACCCAACTCGTAAAGATCACAAAGATTTTAAAATGTTTTTACGCATTTTCACATATTTCTAGGTTTTCAGAAATATTCATAAATATTTTATATTTCTGCTATTATTTGAAAAATAAAAAAACTACGTTTTAAAATTTTTATAACTTTTCATAATTTATATTCTTATTCTTAAATTTTGCGGGTTCAATACAATTTTTCTTAAGATTTTCATTAATGACCATATTTTGTGCCATTACAGAGTCGAAAATAAAACATTGCAAACAGAAATTGGTATAGTTCCGAACAGATCAGATAATCGTGTATCTGATCTGATATCTGATCTGATCTGGAAAATTTCAGATATGCATAATCGTTATCTGATCTGATCTGAAATTTTCAGACCAGATAAATGTTATATCTGATCTGAACATTCAGATATCTGATTTATCTGTTCAGATATCAGATATCTGAAATAAAATTGTCAATATTGCAAACACTACTAAAAACATTTCAGGTTAAATTATTTATTTGCTTCTTTTTATTTTCACACATTGATAAAGGAATAGTAAAGCAGTTACTACTAAAGAATATTATTATTTGAGGTCGAAATATCATAAAATAATTTTACATTAAATTACCCAAGCATCAAAATAATTATATCCTCTAGCAAATCACGACTGTTACTAATCTGAAGTAAAACCATCCGAATTCTGTGGTTAATTGCCTCGATGATTTTAAGATAACTCGATCACCTCAGTCTAACTCTAGAATTTTTGTGATTAAGACGGCGTATATGCTGAAAAAATCACATAACTAAAATACAGAGACGATGGTTGCGTCTCCTTGTGTGCCGAGAGACTTTTTTTTCTATGGAGGGGGGCGGGGCGAAGGAGCAGCTGATTTTCATGTAAACAAGGCAGGCAGTTGCATGTAAAAAGTTGCTTTGGGTTTTGAGAGTGATCGTTCCCACACCCAAAACGGGGCATCGCGAACCAGAAAAAATGAAAATTCCCGACTCTAGCTTCTAATTTGCAGCTAATACAAAATGGATTTATTTCGTTTTGGTGGCAATAAATTCATGAATTTGTGCTTTACAATTACCATGTTGCATAAATTCCATAATAAATCTCAGAGAAAAGTATTGGACTGAAACATGCAAGTTTTACATGGTTCAGTCCAATACTTTTCTCTGAGATTTATTATGGAATTTATGCAACATGGTAATTGTAAAGCACAAATTCATGAATTTATTGCCACCAAAACGGAATAAATCCATTTTGTATTAGCTGCAAATAAGAAGTTTTAGTGACAAAAATCATTTACATTACTTGTAAGTGGCGAGGAGGAAAACTCAACTCGCTCACTAGGATGCACAGACTGTACCCGAACTGGGACGTTAAGTATTTCAGTTGTATTATTCGAAAATTTTATTCGAACTCTGGATATTTATATCAACGGAAACACCAAGAATTTGGTCTATTTGCAAGTTTATTATAGCTGCACGGTATTAACAGACATTATAAACGCAGTTTTTCTGTTAAAACTTGCGGTTTTGACTCGATTGAATCCGAAAATTACCAAAAACCCGATATCTGAACAGATATCAGATAGCTGAAAAAAATTCAGATCAGATATCTGATTTTACGACTGACTATCTGATCTGTTATCTGATTTTCGAATCAGATCAGATATTTTTGATATCTGATCTGGCAATTATCTGATCTGATCTGATATCTGATCTGAATTATCTGATCTGTTCGGAACTATAGAAATTGGCAACCTCGGATTAAGATGAAAACTCGATTTTTAAAGGAGTACCTATACTATATTTTTTTAGTAAAATGAATAGAATTGAAGAGTTTACAAATTAAAATTTTTCACGCAATTGCACTATTTTTTTAATTAAAAAATTGCACACTTTATAAAAAACTTGAATCAAGAAACGCAAGAAATACGAGGTACAAGAAACTGCAAGAAATCAGTGCAAAAAATCAGTGCAAAAAAATCTACGCAGTCTAGCCACGCGCTTTATAGCGACGCAGTTTCTGGCGCCATGCATTTCTTTCAGGTCGAAATACATACAAGAAACCACTTTCTCGCTGTTATTTCTTGCAAGTGGTTTGGTTACAGGCACCCGAAACCCTTACTTCGGTCGGTTTTTGCCAGGTTCAAAATTTCAAAAATTTCAAAAATTTCAAAATTTTACGGGTCAAAATTTCCGACACTGATCTTGAAATCACTCTTAATTGACTCTCCTCTGAACATTTTTCATATTGTGTCATGAAATTTTGACTTAACCAACGAAATAGACATGGAAAGTTACGGACATTTTAAAAACCTCAAACCTCCTGCTAACATATAATAATTTACGTGGAAAACATGACTCTTGCCTCACAAATCGATCACATCCTTTATGCAAAAGTCCTTTACATAATGCCAAATATCTATATAATTGCTATATAAATATAATATCCAAAGTTATTAATTAATGGCGACCTAAATTGCGATAACCCCGGCGACACCATCAAGATCACAACCACCACTCCTCGTTCATCATAAAAATTAAGTTCTGGATAATCCAGTCGTCTCGTTGGGATAATTTCGAAGCAATAATTCTCATCGAATCCTAATTAATTATCCATGCATGCCCCAATTAGCAGAGATTTCTGCACACCCTGAATTTTTTTACGAGGAAATTCATGTCATGTAAAATACTTATATCCTCGTCTGGATAATTATAAATGGATATCTCTGTTCTGAATTTAGAATTGATGAATTGCACGAAAAATTCATATATGGTTAATTTTCGCCATTCATTTCATTTCGTCATCCCGTCCACGCGTGGTGCTTTTAAGTCGTCGCCATTTTAATTTTGCAGAGATTATTTGGAAAGTTAAATTTTTTGAAAAATTATGGGGCCCACTAAAATTTTCTTAGTTCTTGGACTCGTCGCAACTTTAGTGCCGGCAGGTAAATTGATTTAGTGAGGGGGTTCACGCAATTATTGGTAACTTTGTAAAATAATTTTGAAAACTTTTACAAAATAAAGAGACGCCCTTGATCTGAAGAAGTTTATAAAAGTTTAGGAGCTAATTTTCCTCATAAATATTAGTAAAATTTTGTAAAAGTTTACAGAATTTCTGGGCCAAGGCCATTTCTGGGCCAGACGTTACCAAGGCCTGCGTGAATTGCCTCAGTTTTATAAGGTGCTTGTAAAACAGTAAATTACACAAATTCGCGGAAACGTTCCCACAATTGAACCCAACGAAAAATCTCGCTGGTGAAAAATCTATTGTCAACTTACAGACACCGATTGATTTTGCAAATACGTAATTATAGAATAAAGTAATTTAATGTGAGGAATTACAAATTTCCAAAAATTCTTGCTAAATTGAAAATGTTTTTAGGTAAGAATTCAGTTTTCTTGAGATTTTCACCCATAATCATATTTTGTGCCATTATGGAGTCGAAAATAAAAAATTGCAAACAAGAATTAGCGAGTTTTGTTTAATAGATGAAAACTCCCCGTTGACAGAATACATATTTTCCCGTAAAATGAATTAAACTGCAGGTTTTTACAAATTAGAATTTTTCGCTTAATTGCACTGTTTTTTTATTTTACAAAATTTGCATAGATCATAAAAAATTTGAATGGCGTTGCTCAATTTATGTAGCTCCGTGCAAACAAGTGAGGAAATACTAGTCCAAAATAATTCGCAGTGACCAAATTTAAACGAATTTTGGCAATTTTTTTTTCGCTCAGGTTTCGCACTGCAATGCTTCATTTGCAACAATTTTGACAACCCGACCGGTTGTGGGCACGGGGACGAAGGGAAAGACCAACAATTTCTGAAGGACTGTGACGACCCGCAACAAAACCCGGATTACGATGAAGCCTCCCGAGACCGAATTCCGCTCGGTGCAAAGTACGAATTTTGCAGGAAGATCGTCACCTCGATCGAGTTCGATGTCAACACAAGTAAGGGAATCAAATTGGGTCAAGTTTGGGTTGTTGATTTTTTTTCTGAAATTTTGAAAATTTCTATGAAGATTGTTCAAATTTATGAAAATGTACTGCTCGGATAAGAATCGACCTAAAATTGTATTATTAAATTATATATCGAGAAAATTCACAAATTGACGAATTAATCGTGCAATCAGAAAAATCCAGATTTAAATTTGAGTAGATTTTACAAGCATTATTTGAAATTTTCTAAAAATTTCATTTACCAATTTTTTCAAACTTTTTTCCGAATTTCCATACACAAATTCTTGGTTTTCAAAGTTTGTTGAGAAATTTTGAAACGAAAATTACTTAAAATATTTATTGTTACTTACGCAGTAGAGAAGGAAGACCTAAAATTGTGTACGTGTTAAGAATCTCGACAAAATTCAGAATTGACGAATTAATCCTGCAATTATAAAAAATATAGGCTTAAATTTGACATAAATTTTTCACACATTATTTTCAATTTGCAAAATTTTCCAATAGTTTTTTCGAACGTTTTTTCAAATTTCCAAACAAATCTCATATTAAGATTCCCGAAAATATTCAGAATTGATGAATTAATTGCACAATCTTAAAAAAATACGGACTTAAATTTTACAAACATTACTTTCTATTTTTACAATTTCATAATAACTTTGATCAAATTTTTCCAACATTTTCCCGAATTTATATATACAAATTCTTAACTTTCGAAAAAAATATTAGCTTTTCCTGTTCAAATGGATTAATGTGTGGATGAATGATACCTGAAACTACATGTAAATCAAGAACTCTCGAAAAAAATCAAAATTGACGATTAAATTGTGAAAAAAATATACACCTAAATTTTACAAGCAATTTTTCAATATTTTCCAATTATCAGTACCAATTTTTCCTAACACTTTTCCAAATTTCCTTCAAGTTTCCTTTAAAAAATTTTGAAACTACGATAATTCCTGGAAATCTTTATTTATTTTTTCATTGACAGACAATTAACTTGTGGAAAAACCTAATTTTATTAAATTTTACTTTACAAACTTTATTTTTAATTTCTAAATCTTCTAATTATTTGTGCCAATTTTTTTCAACAGTTTTCCAAATTTCCTTCAAGTTTATTAAGAAATTTAGAAACGAAAATAATTTCTGGAAATCTTTATTTATTTTTTTACTTGACAGACAAAGCAACGGAACGTATCACCCGAAAATGTGGTTATCTTCCGTCCCAAGGAGGGAAATATGACGAGGAATGTTATTATCGGGGTGGATTTGGGGGTCGCCAGCGGACCTGCACGTGCAAAGGGAACGCCTGCAATGGCGCCTTCAATCTCGGCGCGAGTGGCGCCCTCCTCGCGGGCGCGGTCGCTGTGGTTTACTCCGCCACCAAATTATTCTAATTCAAATTGTTCCAAATTGTTCTAGTTCAACACAAAAATATTAATCTGATTAAACAAATTGTGCAGTTAATTAATAAAATATGTAAATCTATATTAACATTTTATTCATACATATTTCAAAATTCGTAAAAAAAGGAAAGTTGACATTGCGGAAATTCGCGTAGATCTTGGTAACATTGCAAATTTCGTAAACTTACAAACTTTATGTATATTTTGAAGGAAAGTCAGTTCGAAAATTTCTGTAAACTGAATTCCTCAGATGAAGGGCGTCTTTTTACTGAGATCAAAATTATGTTACAAAACGAATGGATTTTACAAAGTTACAAAGGATTGCGTGAATTACCTCAGTGTATATTTAGGCCACATATAATGATTACTTTAATCTAATGCTATTATCCTCATCATAGACCATACTCCTCATCTGATTCATGAAATTGTCAAGTTAAATAATAAAATAAATCCATATTAACGTTTTAGCCATAAAAATTTCAAATTTCGAATTTCGAATTTTTATTAGTAAATAAAAGAAAACTTATGTATTGAGGCGGTTCACGCAATCCAAAAGAAAATTTCATACTTGTTTTAACATCAAAATGAATTTTAATTAGCCTAGAACTGAACCAATTGATACATATCTAATAAACTTTAGATAAGCAACTTTAGATTTGCAAATTTTTAAATGCGGCGTCTAATTTCGCGTATAATTACTAAGGGTTTTCGTTATTTCTTTGCATCGTTATTTATATCGTAGAATATGTAGTTTACGAAAAAAATAACTTAAATTTAATATTTCGTAACAATACAACACGTAATGTGAATCAGTTGAGAAATTGTTTATATTAAAATTACAGATTAAGTCTTTGAAATTTATTTTTAACATTGAACCATTTCACGCCAGCCTTTGCAACTCTGCAACTACATACGTAAACTTCCGGAAATTACGAACTTTTGACGAAACTTGGTAACATCTCGAGAGCAACTTTTTGCTTACAAAACATTACGAAGATGAAAGGCATGTTTTTCGTAAGCTGGTTACGGATTTACGAAGACGTGAATTGCCTCATTGTAAAGTCCGTCAATTCTGTAAAGTTATAAACTTTACAGAATTTCAGAAATATTTCTGAGGGAAATTAGCTTACGTATTTTTGTAAACTTGCTTATCGTATCGTAAGATCAAGGGCGTCTTTTTATATTGTAAAATACTTTTGAAAGACGCACGGATTTTACAAAGTTATAAAGAACAGCGTGAATTTCCTCAGTATATTTAAGCCACAATTTAGCTAAGTGATTGCTATAATATAATCAATGTTATTTTTATTGGGGTGCATGTACTTTATCTGATTCAGGAAGTTGTGTATTTAAAGAATAAAAATAATCCATATTAACGGATTAGTCATACATAAATCAAAATTTGTAAAAACGAGGAAAATTTATATTCACGCAGGCCTTGGTAACTTTGTTAATTCCGTCAATTCCGTGAAGTTAAAAACTTTTACAAAATTTTACGAAGGAAAATTAGCTCCCAAATTTGTGCTCAGATCAAGGGGGTCTTTTTATTTGGTAAAAGTTTGTAAAATTATTTTGCACGAATTTTGTAAAATTACCAAGGACCGCGTGAATTACCTAATTATATATTTTGATCAAGATTTAGCTACATAAATCACACATAATGATTCTGTATATAAAGTAGTAAAAATTGTAAGGAAATAAATTAAATACAAAAAAACGAATGAATGAAATTTTGTGTTAGGGTTTATTTTGTTACTTTAAATTTACACCAATTACAAAATATTTGTTTTCATCACATTTTAAAGCGTCTCTTTGTTTTGTAGCAGTTAGATACACGACATCAAAGATCCGACGGGATTTACTAATTTTTTCGAATTTCTATAGTTCATATGGACCTTTATAATGAAGTAAAGTCCTTAAATAAATAAAATTCGGTAATTTTGCAAAGGTTACGAAAAACACTGATGCCTAGAGTACTAATTATTGTAAACTTACACAACTCCGATCTATACTAATGCTTACTTTCTTGTCTAAAGTGTGTAAAATAAGGTTATAAAATTTGCACAGGTTACGCAAACATTGGAATAAGTTTCATTAATGAAATGCAATTATCTAATTTCGAAATTTGATTCATGATTTATATTTCTCCGGAGATTAGTGATCTCAACGGTTCTCGGTTCTCATAGAACCGAACCGGAACCGATCGCTCGGTTCGGTTCCGGTTTATACGGAGAACCGAACCGAACCGAAACTTTTATTACCGGTTCGGTTCCGGTTCCAAGTCTTTGAGAACCGAACCGAACCGGCCGGTTCGGGTTGAACCGAACTTCATACATAAATACATTAGCGAAGTTAATCATATTTTCGAAAAAGTTTTACGAATTTCCCGAAATACACATAGTTTCCAAAATGAAATTTTGACGTGGCCGCACCTCCAAAGTTCCCAAAATGAAACTTTGACATGGCCACACCCCCAAAGTTCCCGAAATGAAACTTTGACTTGGTCACACCCCCAATGTTTCCAAAACGAAATTTTGACCTGGTTACATCCCCAATGTTTCCAAAACCAAATTTTGACTTGATGACACCTCCAAAGTTTCCAAAATGAAATTTTCACCCCCAAAGTTTCCTAAACGAAATTTTTAACCCCAAAAGTTTCTAAAATGAAATCTTTACTTGGTCACACCCCAAAGTTTCCAAAATGAAATTTTGACTTGGTTACACCCCCAATGTTTCCAAAATGAAATTTTTACTTGGTCACACCCCCAATGTTTCCAAAATGAAATTTTGACTTGGTTGCACCCCAAACTTGGAATTGTTTTCTAACTTCAATAATATATACATAAGTGGTTTTGCTGTTGACATGTATTAGAATTTGCTTGTTTAAATACAGATAAGTTATTGGCTTATATGTGAAATTTCATCAGAAACACGTCAATTAGCATTGTTTGTTGTTTATTGCATATTAATAACACTACCGGTTTGACCCGAACCGCCGGTTCGGTCACAGTTTGGTCCGGTTCCGGTTCGGTTCCAACTAAAAAAAGTTCGGTTCTGTTTCGGTTCTTCAATTCTGGTTCTCGGTTCTAAACCGGTTCTTCCAAGAACCGAACCGAACCGCACCGTTGAGACCACTACCGGAGATACAAAATCGCACTTCGCAAGACCCGAGAACAGAATAATCTAAGGTTTCTGAGAACTACAAATATTTCGAGATTCTTGAAAATGGCGTATAAACTTTGAATTTTTTTACGTTCAAATTATGATCTGTGTAACTGATCAAAAAACATCAATAAACCATATTTACGTCAAAAGTACAAAAATACTAATCCAACATTCACACATATTGGTCGATATACACTCTTAGAAATCCAGTATTAAAATAATACCAAGCGGTATTCATACACTCAAAATAAGGTAGTAATGAATCATTACCATGTGGAATGACTATGTAGCTCTACCACGTCGGTTACGATTTGTCGTAGAAATGGTAATAATAAATTCAGGGAAATTCAAGTTTAATACATAATGGTATTCACTTCCTTAATATTTGGTAATGAATTTGAATTTCCCTGAACTTATTATTACCATTTCTACGACAAATCGTAACCGACGTGGTAGAGCCTCATAGTCATTCCGCATGGTAATAATTCATTACTACCTTATTTTGAGTATAGATAAGTACCAAAGCAATACCGTGTAGTAATATCTTAGTGTTAAAGTTTTATCATATCGGTAGAATTTTTTACGAACCGGTATAATTTTAAGTGATACCTAGCGGTAGCAAATTTAATACCGAGAAATCAATACCTGTCTGACTATACCAGAAAGAGTGTAAATGATCAAAAATAATAAACAAAGCATGTTTACATTGAGGGTATTCGTTATTTCTTCGTATCCGTAGTATCGTAAAATAGTTTACGAAGAAAAAACAAGGGGTCAGGTTTCGTAAAAATCGTAAGCGTAGTAACGTGATTTTCGATGACAAAATCTTACGACGCTTACAAAATCTCGTAAGCGTCGTAAGTTATTTTACGATACGAAGAATACTAAGGATACGAAGAAATAATGAATACCCTCATTGAAAATAAAAAAACTGCATACATTTGTAAACTGATATAAATTTCGTACATACATATTGCCCTATGTACAATCAGCTTAAACGGATTGTAAGTTTATGAAGATTGCAGCATTCTCTGATGGAACTAACGCTAACGTTTGTAACCTTCGCAACCGGGTAACGTTACGAAGTTTTAGTAACTTTTTTAAGGAAGATTGACTTTTACGAAACTTCAAAAGCATGTTTTTGGTTCGTAAACAAAAGTTCGTAAATACATAATTCGAATATTTGATATTTGTATTTTTAGTTGAAATCAGAGTTTGCTTTTGATTGATCACGTCGACGAGATATTATTTAGCAAAGAAAAAATGTGTACGAAAATGTTTGCAAAGTCAACATAAATTTTACCAATTTGGCACCAATTTTTCATCAAAGAAAGAAAATTTGATGAAATTATTGCCGGAGAAAATTCATTATGCAGATTACTTTGCAAATATGAGTGTAAATTGGTAATTTATTACTACAAATTCAAAGTGCCTATGAAGTACTGGTTTATATTTTGTTATAAAATGTTACTATTTCACAGAAATGAGTATATGTACTATGACTTGATAAGTTCACACATTTACGTGACAAGTTTCAAAGTTAAAGTATCTGCAATTAAGGGTAGCGAGGCGTATATAGAAATTTATTAAATCTGGCGTAAAAACCTGACAAATTAGAATTAGAAAAATTAGAAAACTGGTATGAAATCATTACTGAACGGAGTACATATATGCACGACTCCATCAACACTGGTAATAGTCAGCATTACGGTTCAGTAATGTTGTGATAATGGAAAATTTGCGACTCAGAAACAAACTATTACCAATCGGGTGGGAAATTATTACCAGTATTATTACCAGTTAGAAATCTGGTATAGGTTAAGCGGTATTGAGATCTGAGTATTAAAATTGTTACCGTTTGGTGTTAAAATTATACCGGTCCGATTTGCTACCGATATGGTAAAACTTTAATAGCGAGC